TTAAGATTTTTCTTTATTTTATTTTAATTTCTATTACCTCCCTTAATGCCCTAACCTTGTATTTTTATAGTTTATAGGTAAAATAACTTAAAAATATATTTAATTTCTATTAAAAGTCTCTAGTTATCCCCCTTTAATATATTAGCCTTAAGTAGCTATTTCTCTACCTCTAGATAGACTAAAAATGCCCTACTATCTCCCTGCTTAATAAGCGCTTAAGAGATTATAAGATAAGTAAAGTCCTATCTTATATTATTATTTATAATAACCTCTAGCTCTACTATTAATTTACTTACTAAGAGATATTCTTATGCTTTATTATTCTTATATAAGATCCTTATAAAGAGCTTATACCTCTAAGAGGAAGATCTAATAAACTTAATAATATTATAGAGCTTTCCTACTAGCCCTTTCTTTCTTTAGTATTATAGGTCATCCTCGCGCCAGCCGAGAAGGTCTAAGACCTGCAATTCAGCCTCAAAAGCCACGAAATCTTCGCCATAGAGGAAAGCATGAGCAACCAGATTCAAGATATGCCCATAGCAGCTTATGCATCTGGCTCGAACGTCTGCTAGGCCTATCTCTATATCGAGATCTTTATAGAAGTTTAGAAGACAGCAATCGTTCGAAGATGCGTTATCTGAGATCACTATGCCAACTCGATCCTCTATCTTCCATTCAGGCACAACTTGCCCAAGCATCACCGCGAGATTTTCCCCATTATAATATCCAAGCTAGCAACAGAATGCTAGTAGGCGCGACTAGTGCTTGCCCTAGCAGCTATAAAAATACGCTATAGCTGCCATAATAGCATGCCGATTAGGTAATATCTACAGGTTAAACCCTAGATAGATTTTAGTAAGGGCATCTAAGAGCTCCTGCTTAACCTTATCCTTCTTAGGCTTATATATATTATCTAATAAATAGCCTATTAATTGCCGGCTTTATAATATCTAGTTAAATAGGTAAGGGTTAAGTTGCTAGGCAAGTTGCAGAAAGAATATATTACTAAAGAAAGAAAAAGGAATATTAGTATTAATTAGAAGTCCTAGACTTAGTTCTCGGATTATCTTAACTCTAGCATACAGTATAGCGCTATACTATAAGCGCTACCATCCACAACCCCTCTTTCGGCATAACCCCTCTTTCGGCAAGCAAAATAAAAAAGCCACCACCAAAAATCAACAACTTCACTTACACAGAACTTGACCGAATTGATAGAAATCCGTGAAATTTTTCGTTTCATAAATCATAAATAGGGTTTATCTATTGTACTCTGGTTTTTTTCGCCACCCGCCGCGACCGCCTGGGTGGTTGGTGGGGTATGTTTTCCTCTCTGACTTCGATGACAGAACCAGCCTCCGATTCTGACTCTTGCTCGCTTGAAGAGACAAATTCCACCCCAACAGGCATATAACGAGTCGCCCCTTCTGGTATGCACTCTTTACTAGCTAGAGTCTCTCCAAGAGTCATAAAACGTTTGTTAGGATTCGGCACCGCCTTCCTCTTCTTCCCTCTTTTCAGCCGAGCCAATTCTTCCTCTAGGCTGGCAATCCTCTGCGTATGCGCCGCTACTGTCTGCTGTTGAGCTTCAAAGCCCTTGGCTATCACGTTATACCGTCTCCGCGTCTTTGGTGTTTTGTTCAACCCAAGGTCACGAATTTGACGGCTCGTCTGTGGCGTATCGTCCGAGCCAAGATAAGGCCTGGGTTCAGGAGTCACTCTTGGGTTGCCGTTTGGCCCATCTTGTTGGATTTCAGGGTGCCGTAACGCTTTCGCACGTGAAATTGGCCAGTTCCCAGTGACCCTCCAGCCAGACAGTATGTTCTTCTTGGTCATTCCAACTCGGCGAGCCTTGGCGTAGGCCCTGATGAAATTGACCTTGTCCATTGGAGCGGAATCAGTCAACGAAGCGAACTTTTCCAACTCTCGTCGATATGCAGCCTTCGACGCATTAAATACTCCATTGTCCAGTGGCTGGAGTCCATGAGAGCAGTGTGCTGGTAGATAGCAGCAATAAACGTTGTTCAAAAAGCACGTGGCCATCCATTCATCCTTCCATCACTCAGCACTGATCTTGAGGTGGGGAAAATAGTGAACATACTGTTGCATGGCTTCCATGACCATCTAAAATGATCAGTCTCGCATCAGAGTCGTCGGCAGGCGTAGTCTGGGGCAGATAAACTCTTTCAAGCCATTCAATGCCTATGTGGTCATCAGTCCACCCGTTGGGCGATGTTATATAATACCAGTCTGCTATCTGCTTGAACTCATCAAGAAACCACTGTTTCTGGAGTTGTTTCCCCTTGAATATTATGCCAGGAACTAAAGCGCGGCCGTCAGCGGTGATAGCTTCGATGAATGAAGTCCAATTCCGAGTTTGTGGTCCCTTGAGAAACGCCTTGCGCTTCGGGTCCGCGCTTCCAACGACCAGGCTATCTAGACCTGAACCCAGAGGGTTAGTCGGCCAAAACTCAAGCATTGACAGGGAATAGAGGTGAATGCTTGCCGAAACCAGTCATAATACCCCCCTCATCAACGTTGACGGTGTTTTCAGGCTTGATCCAACCATATTGGCCCTCCCTGATATCAAAGTACCAATGAACCGCTCTAGGTGTGAAAGAGTCGAACCTCTTGGCTTCTTGACGTCTGCCCATCTTGGTCTTTAGGTCTGCACGGCGATTGATAAACTTGTTCACCCAGTTGCGTCCTAAGTCGGGATGTTCGCCCTGCTGTCTCAGCAGGCCCATGACGCAAGCGCGGATCTGACTGTGGGACGGAGCATAGCCCAAAGACTCCTGACGGAGTATCCAGAAAGCGAGCCTATCCTCTTGGCTCTTGGACAAGCGTCGATAAGGGTGGACCTGCTCTTTCACGGCCCCGCGGCCGTTAAGTCTGTCGATTAGAGTGCTCCGAGGCACTCCCCGTCTCTGAGCGGCTTGAGGAGGTGAAAAACCATTATCAGTAACATCCAATATGGCCTCTGCCATATCTTCCTCTGTGTATTTCCATCGAAGTCTTGACCTAGGCATTTTCATATGTTGTCGCAGATAAAGGCCAAAAAACACAGAAAAGAGCGGTGAAGAACTTGATGATCGAATTAACACTATTTCCATATCACGGTATGCATACATCGCGTACCCCGCACAGCCTTAGAGGGCTACAATCGTTAACTCCAATCATTTCTATAATCAGCAAAGGCATTGTCCTCCAAGTAGCTATTTATTTTGGCCAATATTTGTGTAAGTGAAGTTGATGAGTTTTGGTGAAGCTTTTTTTATTTTGCTTGCCGAAAGAGGGGTTATGCCGAAAGAGGGGTTGTGGATGGTATTACTTAGGCCGTTTAGATTTATCAGTTAACAGGTCTATATTAGTGCCTTAACTGCCCTTAAAAATCCTATAGGACCTATACGTAGTCAATAATGCTCAGGCTCGCAATGCCACTTTCTTATACCTGCAGAGGTAGTTAGCTGCCGAACTTATAGCAGCAGCGGCAAAGAACTCAGGCTAACACTTCGCATTGCATAAATGGCAGACCTAGTAAGGACTTAGCAGGCTATTATTAGTATTAATCTTAATAAGAAAGAATCTATAGCGCTTAGTCTAGCTCTTCTAGACCTTTAAGCCCTTCTGGGATAAATACTCTTCTAAAATATATTGTTTATTCCTCTATATTGCTGGTGGAAGATCTGCAACTGTAGGGTAATCTGGCAATATCGTCTGCGTCGCCAGCTCGAATTGACTTGCCAAATTTCTCAGTGATCGGAGGAGAGCAAAGGCGGAGGGTGGAGAAGGAAGCATGATGTCGTTAAATTTATCAGGCTACGCGTCGGTCGGTAAGGAATAGCACGCGTGGGGGAGAGGTAAACAGCCTGGCACCGACATGGTTTGATGTGGTGAGGGCGAGGGACATGAAAGTTAAGAAGCTACCTTCTCTTTAGCCAGTTTAAAGGCCCTGCTAGGGGTAGCACACTAATGAAAGATCTGAGTAATGACTCTGATTGGCCAGGTCCACTCACCTGACCCTGACGTCCATCAGGTTCCGGGTAAGCTGCAAAGACGCGCTCGAGAGCCATGCAGATTCTACCTTTAATCATATATCATATATTAAATATATTAAATATTATTTTAAATCCAGGGGTTTAGATTTGCTTGATTTAAAATAAGATTTTGGCATATTTAATTGATTTATTTGACAGTTTGTTTGATTGCATTTGATCTATGGGCAGCACTGATCGTATTGAACTTGTTAATATTTCAACGAAGACCAATTTCAATACTACCATAACTCAAATTGGAGCCTGAAAAATGATCATTTCCTAGCTTACATATTCTATTGAAGCTTTATCCATGAGTAATACATAGGGAGCGTGCTTGCAGCAGCCACACATGCAGCAACTCCTCCATACTGGCGGATATTCCTCACCAGCGATTTAGAGTGCCAGGATCGAGATCCTCCAGACTTGACAAAGGCATTCTTGTCAGGGAACAGAGTGGCAATCCAGAACTCAATCGCTAGACCAGGCCAGGAAGCCACATTTCGTCCGAAATCACCGATGTACCAGTTGCTACAATCTCCAGCAAATACACTACTCTTCAACTTCTGGTGTATCTGGTTGGTGGTGTAGTTCTCAACTGCTTCCTTTACCTCGATGGCAGAAGCTTGACCATCGATGAGAGGCTTGACAAGAGCTTCGGCAGCATAGCCGACCTGGACTTCGCATGCGTAAAGGGCCGAATTATTGGCAGGGAAAGTGTTGGGGCCGAATCTGTAGAAGTCAGAAACCATGTTCTTGTTCAGGTTTAACTTTAACTTACATGATAGCCATATTGGGGAAGTTGTGCACGAACGTGCCAAGGTAAGCCTGTGCGCCACGGCTTTCTCTCCATTGCTGGTCAAGCGTGTTTCCGTCTGCACCAACGATCTCCATTGGGGTCAGAAACTCGGTAACCTTGAACCCTGTCGCCATGACGATAATGTCATACTGGTCATGGCGTCCAGATGAGCTGATGATGCCATCCTCTGTAATCTTTTGGATTCCTTCGGGGATGAGTTCCACGTTGTCTCGATGTAAGGTTGCGAGGTAACCTGGGTCCGCAATCTTTCTCTTACAGCCAAGTTCGAACGTAGGAACCAGGATATCGTGGTACTTCTCGGGAGCTTGTTCAAAGATATATCGACGAGCTCTTTCTTCTTCTCTCAATCGCTGTTCCACACCCGCCTTTGTTCCTCTGTAGGTGTAGGATTGCTTATCAATATCCCAGAAGATGTTCCAGCGATGCAGACGCATCAAACCGGGAAGATAACGAAAACAGAACTTTTCGAAACCGGTGAAGTGATGGTTGGGACGGGCATGATACCATTGAGGGCTACGCGCGTACTGGGTAACAGAGGCAGCTCTTTCTGCGACGGCGGGGACTACCTGTACAGCGCTGCATCCACTTCCGATGACAGCCTTGTCTTTGGTTAGCGAAGGTTCTAGTCAATCTTGGGACAGTGGGTTAGACGTACCACTCGCTTGCCTTCATAGCTGACATCATGCCTCCATCGAGCAGTGTGGAACATTGGACCACGGAATGCTTCCATGCCATTGAAGTGGACCTATTGTAGCAGGCATGTTAGATTACGAGATACAGTGAAGATGTGTAGAGAGACAAACATCTTTAGGCATGGAAATTCCTCCCACAGCCGAGATAAATATGGTAGCTTGTCGGACAAAAGTGATATCTGTTTGGAGGTCTTTCAATCTCACATGCCATTGGCCTTCTGCTTTGTCCCATTGCGCGCCTAGGCATTCGACTGAGACGTTGATATGGGGACGTAGCTGGAATTTGTCGACTGTGTCCTCTATGTACTGGAGAATCTCTCCTTGTTCGGCGAGTTGCTTTGACCAATTGGGGTTGAGATTGAAACTGAATGAGTACAGATGAGAGTGCACATCACAACCGCTACAAGCTTGATCAGCAATGTCATGCCATGGGGTTGAGTACATCACTACTCACCAGCCAGGATAGCTATTTGCCCTCCATGTTCCTCCAACTCCATCCATCTTCTCGTAGATTATGAAGTCGTTGAAGCTAAGCTCATACTTCATTTTATGGGCCATGGCAATGCCAGAGGGCCCAGCACCAATGATTATAGCTGAGGGAGCCATTCCTTACTGAATGGTAGTGGTTCTTGCAGTGGAAATGGAGCTAATGCGAGGCTAATAAAGGCTCGATGTCCGCTGGGCTCAGATGGGTGAAGAGTATTGTCAAGTGTCAAGTAAAGCAAAGAGGATTTGTATTGGAGATGACAGTTCTCTGTTTCATTAAAAAAAGCCTCTAATCTTATCGAGTCGAAGGAAGACGTTATATCTATCATTCCACAAGGCGGAAATGAATACATTGTCTCTACACATTGGATGTCTTGTCTTCAGGCGACGTCCGTCATCCAAATTGATCGGGATCCAGTTTCCGACCACTTTGCCACACCTTGATCCCTCTCTTCTGTGGGTCACGGAAATCCCCAAGTCCCGCTGGCATCATCGAGTAAGCCAGATTCCGCCCAGAGCATTGTCTCGCCTCGGACTACTTGCCGTATTGCTTGGGATTTGTACTGTACTCAATGAACCATGTTTCCTCGAAAATTCAGCATTTACCCATAAAACTAGTTATTTCTAGCGCAGCATACTCGGCCGTTACTTGACCTCGGCCTTTCCAATTACAGAGGTGCGATGGACTATTGCTTGGGCTTTGCGTTTGATATGCTAGTTAGAGATGATAATGCGGCCCACTTGCTAGAGTTTGCAGGCCATCAATCAACGTAGACTGGTCTTGAAACGTCTTCTTTTGTTAAGCAAGCACCTGTCAGAAAGACTAGACCACGGGGTCCTCATAGCAAGCAGTTTAAAGCATACGTACAGCTATGAGTCATATTGTGGCATGTAATTGACTACTGATAAAACACTGAGGATCCACCATCAACGATCAGATTTTGTCCCGAGACGTATTGTGCCATGTCACTAAGGAAGAAGACAACGGGTTTTGCGATATCTTCTGGTACTCCCAAACGCCCGAGAGGAACTCTCCCCCTCATCGCCAGTCTCTTTGGCCCTGCCAGATCTTGCTTGTTCATTGATGTTTCGATGGTTCCTGGACTGACACAATTAAATCGGATACCTTGTTTCCCAAACGCCACAGCTAAGCTCGCATTGAGTCCTAAAATTGCTGCTTTGGTAGATGCGTAGTGTGTCAAGCGTTCAGATCCCATTGACGCAGAGATGGAAGCAATGTAGACGATGGACCCTCCAGATTTCTGTTTGATCATCTGTTGAATGACAGTTTGTGTGATGGCAAATGGGCCATTAAAGTTCACATCCATGTGGTTTGCGAGTTGTGGTTGCGTGACATCCAAGAAATCTTCGAATTGGCATGTGCCAGCATTATGAACAATGCCATTGATAGCACCAAACGTTGAAATAGCTGCTTTGACAATCCTACACGAAACAGTAAGCTAAAACAAAGAACTTCTGGTTGCAGACGTCACAAGACGCTACTGACTGGTCGCCAGCGTCTGGCTGGGTCACATTGACTGCGACTTCCACGGTTTGAGGAGATTTGGCGTCTTGATTAGAGATATTCGCCAGCTCGTCTCTCAAGCTTTCCATATCCTTTGATGATCGGGGATCTCCAAGATAGTGAAGGATGAGCTTTGCTTCTTGCTGTGCGCACTCTAAGGCGATTGCACGGCCTATTCCAGAGCTGCAACCAGTGACGCTTGACTTGTGAGCGCTGCGTACATTTCGAGAACGAGATTTATCCAAACTTACGCAATAATCTTTCCAGAGAGAATATTTGGCATCTTTAGCTTGAAATGAGGACAACTACCGGTAGCTAGTATAATTCGACGATGTGAAAGGCCTGTCTATGGATAAGTATACCCACGTGTCTCAAGCGAACTCTTCGAGGGACAAATTCCTCAACTTACGAGCCATATATACTTGTTCTGTTCGGGATCTAGATTCCGACGTTTCTGTTTGCTAATTCTTGACGCATCTTAATGAAATGAAGCCCAAACCAAAACCTTGCATTTGTATGTTGGAATCATTAGTTCTTGAACGAAAATGAACTTAGCCTAAGGGAACAGGCGGGAATAATTTGCTGTGCTGTGCACCGATATGCATTATGAGACTCCAACTGGGGGGCAACATTTCTTGTTCTCTACATGTATTAGACTACACTGCACCAGTTCAATCTTGTAGCCTGATTGAGTTCACTTATTGGCCTTTTCTACCGGTCGTAAATCTTCACGTTTGGCATAACTTTGCCCCCATTTATGTCTAGATTGCACGCCATCCAGCCTTCCTGGCATCCTTTCCACCCAGATCCTTGAGATATGCATGAACTCTAGTCTCTATTCCTTCCGCATCAAGACCGAACCGATTGTAGTTGCTGGCGTTAGAAGCTGAGTACCCGTAGCTCGTCATACCAACGCTTGATGTTACATAACGTGCCCAAGTTGTTGCGACGTACTCCTCGACGCTCACGATGGGGGTTCCATCCAACGGGAATACAGTCTCTCGATACGATTGATCCTGTGCGTCGAAATGGTCAAAGCTGGGGGCACTTACTACTCTGGCTGAGACTCCCGAGGCGTGCAGACGTTCAGAAGCCGCGACAGCATGGTGTAAGTTGGTACCGCAGCTGGCCAAGATTACATCAGGCCTCTTAACGTCCTTGACAATGTATGCGCCTTTAGCGACCTTGTAACGATCCGTGTTTGGAACTGGTCCAACTGGATCTCGACCAAGTGAAAGCATGGATGGGCCTGTGGTCTTTGAGATGGCAAGCATCCAAGCACCAATGACTTCCTCTGCATCACAAGGTCGGATGTAAGTCAAGTTCGGCATAGCACGATACAAAGAGTCCAGTTCGACGGGTTGATGAGTTGGGCCATTTTGGCCTTCAGCAAATGAGTCATGTGTTGCGATATGGACCACAGGCAGATGGCTCAGGGCACCCATTCGAACACCTGGGGCAGCCTACGAAGAGAGTCAGCATCTATTTTAGGTCAAGCAGAGGCTGTTTTATCCGTTGCCTAGGAGGGTACCAAACTTACGTAGATGTAGAACATGAAGAATGTGGCCGTGAATGGAAGAAAGGTCCCGGGGTTATAAGCTGCGATGCCATTCGAGATAGATGCCATGGCATGTTCGCGAATTCCGTAACGAATGTATCGTCCAGTATGCCCCACAGATGGATGGAACACCTCTGTAGGGTCATAGGCGACCTTGTTGGAGTTGACCAAGTCAGCACCACCTCCGGTCAGAGCGGGATGGGCCTTCCACAAAGTTTCCATGAGAGTGCCATTGATCTCGCGAGTGGCATGCTTACTGAACTGCTTGGAGTCTATTGTCTCAAGGCTCTTTCGCCACTCGTCCCCATTCTCACCAGCTCGTCTCTTTCGAAACTCCTCAGCTAGGTCGGGGTGAGCTGAGCGATATTCCTCGAGTAGGCTTTCCCAGTCGCTTTGTATCTTCTGGCCATGTTGTTTCCTCTCTCGGAAGTACTTAAGGGCGGAAGAAGGTATTTGATGCGTTGTAGAGGGATCCTGTCCAGCTAAACGTTTCGATTCGGCCACACTCTCGGCATCAAAAGCACCGTGATGGGCTTTGAATGTTCCGGCACTGGCAGTACCAAGACCAATGACTGTACGGACATTGATGAAGACAGGCTTTTTGACAAGCGTGTTAGCATAGCCCAACGCTGATACAATCTTCTTGACGTCGTATGAACCATCGTCGATCTCAAGAACATGCCAGCCACTTGCGCGCATCTTGGAGTTGATGTCCTCAACATTGATCCAATCGAGAGGCCCATCACAAGTCACTTGGTTGTTGTCATAGATGACGACCAGGTTGTCCAGCTGAAGGTTTCCGGCAATTGACATGGCTTCTAGTGCCACTCCTTCCATCAAGCACCCATCACCAGTCATGCAGTATATGCGAGACGTGGCAACATCAAAACCAGGCTGGTTGAAGCGCGCAGACAGGTTCTTGCTTGCAATAGCGAGACCGACCGCGTTGGCGATTCCTTGACCCAAGGGTCCTGTAGTGACTTCGACTCCTGGGACTTCAATTTCAGGATGAGCATGGGAGATAGTTGTGTAACCATCCACTTTAGCACTTCCATAGCCCTTGAGCTCCTCCATTGTCCAGTTGTCATAGCCGACGAGATAGTTCAAAGCATATAGGAACATGGCGGCATGACCTACCAGAAAAAATTAGCAATGCTGGTGAAATGGTGCCAACTAACAGGCTTCAACGACTTACCATTGGACAATACAAAACGGTCTCTGTTGAACCATCCTGGATTCGATGGATTGTAGCGCATTGTGTGCTTCCATAGTGCAACTCCAATAGCGGCCATGCCAATGGCTGACCCACCATGTCCTCCATTGTTCTGGTTACAAATGTCAAATATGAGGTTGCGAAGCACCAAGACAGCTTGACCATCGTCATCCATCTGCTTGAGCCAGCCGTTTGCCTTCTCCTGTCTAAGAGGCACTAGCGGAGCCAAGGTCTGATTGGACACTGTCATTTTGACTCTAGTCGGAAATAATCTTGGTTGATGCTTTGTTATGCTATGCTAGAGCGGTTTATACAATATATTATACACAAACTGAGGTGGGTAGTTGAATGCTCTTATCTGTTTGAACCGTACATGCGTTCGATAGCAGCCGATCAAGGGTGCGAGTCTCATAACCGCTTCCACCAAGGTACGGGACGCTACTCGGAAATCACACCCCGAAATTCGTTGCCCAGTTTCGGCCCTGCAACAAGTGATTCATTCTGGTAAAAGCACTAGCCGTATTCTACCCCGTGACTTTTCTCCGGTCCGAGCTTGAGGGAAATGGATTCCCATCTTGTTTCCATTAGAAACCATCGGGATCAATGCCGCTTACTTCCCCATGGGATCGGGGTGGCTTTGTAAGCTTGCCGATACTCGGCTCTGGAACTGATGTTACAATGATGTACTTGGCCATTCCTCTACGTGGCTCCATATGATTCTTTTTGCGTCTCTGGTCTTGATATTCGTTGTTAAATGTGCTTTCAAACTCGAGAGCTATTCATAATAGAGGAAGTTTACCTCTAGGAGTGCAGTACAGGGATCATCATTCGTGTGAAATATGACATATTGTCTGTATTTATCAGGGTATCTGGGAGAAAATTAGCAAGTATAAAAATCAAAGCATCATGGCATCCCAAAGTCGTCAATTGAGGCCTAGCTTCATAACAGTTGGATGCACCTTGGAACGCTCCTTGTTTATTTGTGCTATCATACAAGTAGATGTTCGTAAAAGCTGGTCATTTAGACCGGAAGTATTTGACAGCTGTCTCATGCGAACCACGACATGTACTCTCTGAGGGTCAGTAGTGTATGACAGCATGTCAGAACCGACGTGTTTAAAGCCGAAGTTAACAAATAACATGTTCAAATTTACTATGGTTGCTGCGTCTGGATATCTCTCTCACAGTAAAAGTATCATTCCTTGATTCGGTTCCCTTGTCGATCAAAGCAAATCTTGTTCCCAGTTCTAAGACTCTCCTGAAGCGCAGTGGCGATCTTGAGGGATGTCAAGGATGAACGCAAAGGTACGGGCAGAGGCGTATTATCAAGAAGGGAATTCACCCATCCATTTGTTTCCTCAACAAATGCCGCTTCGTAGCGCTCATACCAGCCTGTATGCGCAAACGTCTTAACTGCACCATCCTTATCGCAAAGCTCGACGGCATTGCGTCTTGGGATGAGGTTGACCGACAGCTTTCCCTTAGTTCCAAGAATCTCTGTGGCGTTGTCATATCCATGTGCTGCCATTCTATTATTGTAGAAAAATGCGATCTTATTATCCCAATACTCGCAGATACCCACACCATTATCGACATCGCCATAGGCTTCAATCTCAGGGTGGATGGCTCTCACGCCAACAGCGGACACAGACTTGGGCTGGGAGTCATCTCCGAATAATAAAAGGGAAAGGTCTATGTCGTGGATGGTAGCGTCCACAAATATGCCCCCAGAATCTTTCAGATACTGCTTGTAGTATGGACTCTCGTCAATGGGGTCGCTAGCTTGAGAGCGAATTACCACAGGCTCTCCAATGGCATTTTGCTTGAGTTGACTGAGGGCATTCTGGTAGTTTTCATCGAATCTACGCACAAATGCCACCATGAGCCTTGCCTCAGGGCGGGCCTCGACTTGATCGACAAGAGCAACTAGCTGCAGTAATGTAAGCGATTCTAGTAGTGTAAAGTTTGTACGGCATTACTGACCTCATCCAAAGTCTGGCACACTGGCTTCTCACAAAGTACATGCAACCCTTTATCCAAGGCAGTCGTGGTTTGAGAGGTGTGAAGGTATGTTGCAGATGCGATGAGGATGGCTTCTAGGCCTGGAATTTCGATCATTTCCTCAAAAGTGGGGACAACATGAACGCCGTGTGGCACTAGATGTTCATCTGCCCATACCAGATCTGCCTCAGTGGGCGAACAGGCACAAATGAGATCTGCTCGAGGAGTTCGATGGAGTAGGTTCATGGCATGATGTCGCCCCATGCGACCAATCCCCACCACTCCGACCTTTAGTCGTCGGGGAACACCGTTATTTTGTGCAGGCATCTTGAGGACCTGATGAATAAACGTTCAAGCTCGTTATGAGATCCTTTTGGTGTCAACGAAAGGAAGTTCAGAAGAAAGTATCATTGGTACACAGGGCGATATAAGGTGCGCTAGAAACTGGGGAGATATATGAAGCTTTTAAGGTCCTGAGTCAAGTGAATAGGGTAGAGGGTACGATCGGCCCTCAATCCAGTGTCGGAAACTTGATCCCGGCCTGGAAGTGTCATCTCCACGCGCTAAGTCATCACAGGGCGGGGAAATGCAAATCTTGGGCCGTTAAACACCAGTGTACTATGGGGTAAATTTGATTAGACGAATTGTCGATTGTTTCAATCTGAATCTTCATGCATCTTATGTTAACGATGCGTATAAGATCATCAGCACCTATCTCCAATGTTCCTTTCCAACAGGCAGCCCCCTTGCTAACTTCGCGGAATTCGTTGGGGCGTGGGGGGATACAAATTGAATGGTAAATTTCTCGGCTAATTTGTGAAGTTAGGAAAACCTCGTGGTCCATATAATTCTGGCTGTGGAGAAGGGTGTCCAACATCTCATCACCGAAACCTTTTTTAGATCAGTTTATTACTGTATAAAATGTCAGGCCAAAAGTCTGACATATCCACACACACCACAATACCATGGAATTATCATAAATAACTTCAACTAGCCATTATAAATTCATATTAAATCTGAATTTGATATAAAATACATCAATCAATTGCTCTGAATTCGGCAATTAATATTTTGTATACCGACCCCGTGCTTTCTTGCAAGTGGGAAGTCTATTAGCCGCGGACTTCGTTAGCTTCAAAATCAGCCGTTCAGGCAATGCATCCCATGCATCTTGGATCCATTTGATCAGTAATTTCCTATAAGCCTCGCTTTTGCCTAGTCTGACATATTCTGGGTGAATTCTTCGTAATTTGGTCTTTAGAGCCTTCCAAATATGTTCTATAGGGTTTAAATCAGGGGAATGTGCCGGCCAATTGATTGGAATAATCCTGTGTAAGAGTAACCAATCCATTGAAGCCTGTGCTATATGCACACGCGCGTTATCGTGCTGAAATTGATTGAATTCATCGAGAAATGGAAAGAGACCCTCCGTAAGAGCCTTACGATAACTCCAGTTTGAGTAACCGTTCTTGTTGGCCGTTGGGTCCCTTGTCATTGGGATTAGATAAGACGTCTTATTCCTCGTTATTACTCCCCAGAACATAATCGATAGACAAGCTTTTCCATGAGTTTGAATGTTCACTAAGTCCTTCCTATACCGCTCATCGGGCCGGCGAAAGACCCAGCTGTCAGGGTTATTCAGAGCATTATGTATAGTGACTTCGTCACTGAAGCAAATCTATGTACCAAAATTAGTATATGAAGGGTTTATCTATAACTGACTGACCTGTATGTATTCCTCGAGGTGACGCAGCCAAATTTGACTATGTTCAAGCCGAGCTTTTGCATCTTCCTCTGAAAGCTTTATCCGTCTCTTAGACCGCCATTTGTGCCGCCAATGACTCTGTAAACGGCGCTTTAAGGTGCGGATTGAGACATCTAGACCAAGCTCTAGCAAGACGTCATTCCATGTGATCTCGCGGTGTCGATTAATATATGAAGTGATACGTACAATCCGTAGGGTCGTAAGTTTCTGTCAACGCCCCTTTCGTGGCCCTGAGGCAAGCTTGTGGTGTTGCTCCCACCGTTTCTTTATTCGTGAGATGATGCGTTGGTCGGTGTCAAAGTCGGCTGCAAATCCACTTGACGTTTGCCCACGCGTAACTCCGCCATTATTGTTGCTCTTTGCTCCGGAGTGAGTTCGTTGTTAAATTTACGGTCTGAAGTTATTTCAGGGCCAAAAGACGGTTTTCCTGACATTTTCTTTGACTATAATATCATTGATTGAAGTTATTGTGATGGCTTGCTTATGCTTATGTGAAGGGGGGTTGGTGTTGAACAGGTGCTGGGGCCTCACGTGCAAGCAGGGATACTTTAAGATTACAGCCGAAATGGTACAACCTCTAAGGGGCAGATTTCAACAGAACATAACATGAATACACCAATTCACATCAATAAACAGAATACACGTAATGTCTTACAGTTGGGTGGATATGTCAGACTTTTGGCACGTGATTGTACCATGCTGGTTTTCCAACTCAATCGGACCAGACTGACTATCCAATTAGGCCGCGAATAGATAATAACCGATAAGCAGTGTGACCGTTGCCAATGGTAGGGATGGAGATAATCCTTGCTTAATTAACATTTCGTGGCAAAGGGTAGAGGCAGACGATGATTTGGTTGTGTATTTTTCGTCCGGGGGGCCGTCGGCCCCAAAAAGTCCCCTGCTGGGGCATGGAACGTGATAGGCTAAACTAAATACAATCGCTGCCATACTGAGCCTCATTCAGATCATTTGCAAGGCCTCTTGGATCGGAGCCGTATATATGTTCGAGCTGTTTCTGTGGTCAATACCCCAAAAGGCACCCTCTACTCGTAGCCAAGCCTACAGAAGTTTCCGCTGAAGCAGGTCCTACAGGACATCGATACAGTTGATCTTAGCAGAGCTCCCCGTCTAGCGGCGCCGCCATCTAGTTTATCCAGTATATCATTGGCACAAAGGCGCATTACTCTCAAGAGGGCATCCTGAGATGCAGATGGGCTGCCCCAATGGCGGCTTGTAGGGTAGATCACAATAAAATATAGGCAAATATCATCTGAATTCTTACTCTAGCAATTGAGGACCGAGCGCAATTGACACAATATTGGATTCTATTACTCGTTCTCCACAACTACCTTGATAACCAAATTTCCATTATCATCACATGTCTTTGCGGCCATGTCAAAAGCTTCCAGGCTCTGATCCAACCCTTGGAAACGATGCGTGATAAGTTTCCTAATATCAGGGACCCCTTCTTTGCCAGCTTGTTGCATCAATTCAATACCATGGGGATAGCAATTAGCATATCGCCAAACTCCCACTAAATCAACTTCTCGCAGAGCTGCGGCGGAAATTGGTAGGGTTTGAATTGGTGTGCCCATACCAACGAGAAGTATCTTGCCTCCGTTACGTGTTGCCTGTTCGTTAATATTAGTAGCCGCTCTTGAGATAGCGAAACAAAGGTTGGAAATCTAGTACTCACGTAGATAGACGTCCTGACACACGATTCGACACCGGTACACTCAAATACTCTTGAAAAGGTCTTGTCATCATTTTCCTTTTGCAAGTTTACAGCGTCTTCCTTGGCAAAGACCAGGCCTTGCTCGGTGTCTTTCGCCCGTCTACTCGGTAGCTTGACAACCTTGTCTGCAAATCCATTGCTAAGCGCGAAATCAAGTCTGTTCTGTACAATGTCCGCCATCACAATGTTGCTGTATTTGGAGCTCTTTGCGACGGCAGCGCATAGAAGCCCCACAGCACCAGCTCCGAAGATGAGACAGCTTGCGCCCTGCTTTGCATTCGCTTTTCGAACAGCGTGTATCGCAACAGCAAGAGGTTCAAGGAGAGCACCTTCAGCATAAGATATACCTTCAGGCAATCTAAACGGGCGAACTTGTCAGTGGGGTGACAGAGATCTGTCCATGACTTGAGCCACTTACTTGTGTACCCATTTGGCTGGGTGATTGAAGCGCTGCTGCAGAGTGCCCTGGTAGTGAGGGAAACAAGTAGCACTGCTCCTAAAATGTAGCTTCTCACACACGTTGTAGTTTCCATCCGAGCATTGCTCACAATCGTCACAAGGCACGCCTACTTCGACGGCGACTTTATCACCAACCTTGACACCATACTCTTGCTCAGCTTTTGACCCGACAGCGACAACGAGACCCGCACATTCGTGCCCGGGGCTCAAAGGCTCTCGGATACAGAAGTCACCGTTCCGATAATGAGTGAAGTAGTGAAGGTCAGAGCCACAAAGAGTTGTAGCCCTCATAGCAATCTGTACTTCATAGTCCAACGGTGCTTCAACTGTTCTGGTAACCTGGGGTATTGTTAGCTGGTGTCGAGATAAACATCTCTCACATGGTAGATATTATTTTTGTTTCAGTCGACATACCTGTCTAAGATCCTTTGCTCCTCGTAGCTCTTGAGCTTTGATGGTTTCGGTTAATACTGAAGTCGCCATATTTAATGACTAACTGCAATTGCCCAGACATCTAAATTTTTCACCTGTGACACTTGGAGCCTTTGGCTTTATGCAAATGTTTTGACCATGGTTGAATTCCTCTAATCGAAGCCGAGTCCCAGCCTCGGTCGGTGAGTGATTCCCGATAACCGATATCAAGATTGCATCATTTTGAGCTGTACGACCGGATTTCAGCGTCCGTCTACCAATAGGACCAGTGTATCTATCCAACACAATCAAGATTAAATTCAACTCCAATTGATTGTCATCGAATTTGTTCACGACACTTGCCCCAGAATGTTTGGGCATTCTGACTAACGGGATCATTTTTCCGAGTGGAGGCACGTCATGTTGATAATCGTCAAGATTTGAGAGGAGTCCGCATAACGTTACGTGCAAAAGCTTTCAGCCTATTATTTATTACATCAAAACAAATAATTCTACTGCCAAACGCCTTAATTTCTACCCGACAATCCCTTGTTTGGAAACCAAACCACGACAACATGGCCCACGCATTGATCTTTGGCGCCTCCGGGATTTCCGGTTGGTCTCTCCTAAACCAAGCAAGGGTCTACCCCTCGCCCTCTGCCTTCGCTCGTATCACCGGTACTACGAATCGGCCGACCTCTATTAGTCAGCTCCAGATCCCACAGAACGATCGCATTCAGCTGGCTTCGGGCATTGATTTGACCAAAAGCGTCGATGAAGTCGTTACTGCACTCGAGAAAAAAGTGCCACATGTTGACACCGTTTCACACGTGTTCTTTACTGGTGTGTTTGCCTACCAATATCACCCTAGCAATGGCTGGTGTCTAGGTCACTAATTAGATTCAGCGTACATTCCGAGAGATGATTTCGAATCGCTCAAGACAGTAAACACCAGCCTTTTGGAAGTTGCTGTGCGTGCCGTAGAAAAGGTCTCGCCGAAGTTTAAGGTTTTTATCCTGCAGACAGGCGGAAAAGGGTATTTCATCTATTCCGTAGATCTTAATCTCAATGCTAACATCAAATTCCAGCTATGGACTTGAGTTTCCGAAAGAGGTCAATATTTCACCTCCTCTGAAGGAGACTCATCCCCGTATCCCAGAGCCGTGGGCGAGCAAGATCTTTTACTATACCCAGTATGACCTGCTCAAGGACCTCTCCTGCGGAAAGGAATGGACATTCTCTGAGATCCGCCCAGACGGTATCGTGGGTTTTGCCCCAGGATCGAATGCAATGAACATGGCACAAGGTATTGCCATCTACCTTACCATGTTCAAGGAAGTCAACGGCACTGGCTCCAGGATTCCATTCCCTGGCTATGAACACGGCTACCATTCGACACATTCGGATACATTTCAGGATATTCTGTCCAAGATGGAGATTCACGCTGCATTGAATCCCGACAAGTGTGGCGATGGTGGCGTTTTCAATGTAGCGGATGGAAAGACCATCACTTGGGCTCAGGTCTGGCCAAAGCTCTGCGAGCACTTCGGCCTCGTTGGCGGTGGACCTGATGCTAGTGCCACTCCGATGCTTGATTTCGTCAAGGAGAACAAGCAAGTCTGGGCTAATGTCGCTAAGAGACACGAACTCAATGAGAAGCTTATTGATGAACAGGGCTGGGGACATGTTCACTTCATGATGGTGGATTTCGACTTTGATAGACAGTATGAACTTTCTCACGCACGCTCTGTTGGTTTCATGGAAGAGATTGATACAGTTGAGGGATACATTCAGTCTTGGGAGAGGATGAGGGCCGCCAAGCTTCTTCCTCCAAACTAGACCGTGGTTAAACCAAGTAGTAGTCTCAATTGACTTATCCTCTACTTACCAGTAGACATATCTCAACCTCGGTGAAATCAAAACAAATATTTACAGGACCACTGGGGTCTGGATAATGCGGCGGTGAGTTTGCCTTCTCCTTATCTCCTCAGAGCGCAAGGACCTCCAAGGTGTACCTCGCTTCCACGTAGAAACACGTAACTTTCGTATCAACACATTGCCGCCAACGCCGCTGCGGCTATTCCAGCTTTTTTTCCAACTTCCCTTGTTCAGAAATGTGCCCAATACACCAAGCTCTGGGCCATGTGGCTCAAGGAAAATGAGGTTGTTGACTGCTGGAAACGCCCGATGAGTCCATCTCCAAAGCTGCGAGCTTGGGAGGGCCTCTATTGCATAAGGATTATGTTGATTGGAATACTGATTTATATAGGTATATATAAGGAAAGAGCGATTCGAAGCCATTGGAGTACCTCTCAACCCGGTGTTCAACGCCCCGGGCACTCTTTTATCAAGTTCATGCCTCACTGGCGATTTCAGCTCCTTCATCGGCACCTTCGTCCCTTTAACCACACTAAGATCGATAAAAGTGCGCCTCTTCCGAAGGTGTTCCAAGCTGCTGACGAGTGGTCTGAGCACATACAAGCTGTGTCTGCACAGATCTTCCTTCCGGGCTCTCATTTGGCTGTAGATGAGTGCATGATTCGCTATACCGGCCGGTCAAATGAGACAACACTTGTCAAGGGCAAGCCGGACCCCCTAAGGTTCAAGATCTGGGTTATCACACAACAGGGCTTCTTTATCCGGCGGCTGTGGCATATCAAGGCTGCAAAATACGGCGCCGTTGGCGTTGAACTTCCCCCACCATCCACACGAGGCCGGGCCACGACCGCAAGGAAGATGCCTGCTATAGAAGACAAGCCTATCGCCCTGAACTCGACCGAGAGCGTCGTTGTTGCTCTTGAAAATATGCTGCCAAAAGCGACATATCACATGTTTGTAGATAACCTTTTCGTCATCAGATCTCTTCCGGTGCCTCCGCAAGCATGGCCTGACCTAATTGCGGCATCGATAAGGAATTACAACAGGATAAAAAGGCTGACGGGGGGGGGGGGTCAAAACCAGCTATGAGTTTAACCAAGTCAAGGTGATCCCGACCCCTGACAATCAGGTACTAGCTTCAAACACTTTCATATATTGAATCCCTACTAATTCATCTATGTGCTATACTTCTAGGTCAACCAAATAGCCTGGAAAGATAGCCGCCTTGTGTTATTCCTGACCACGGTGTTCACGGGCGATGAGCGAGTCAATCGAAAGAGGAAGAAGCCGTCATCCAAGAAGTCAGAGGCCAAGCCGATACAGCGTTCTTTTGGTGACGAAGCTGTCAAGGTGAGAAATATCCCGACAATGGTTGCTGCTTATAACGACGAGATGAACCATGTTGATCAAGGTGACCAATTGAAGACATATTATGCTTATTATCATCCTCTCCGCCGAGGCCCTTGGCAGACACTTTGCTGGACCTTCCTTCTTGATGTGGCCCTTATCAATAGCCAGCGCTCATCATGTCAGTCAAATCAACTTCGAGGTCAAAGTTGATTTGATCGATGTTCTATATCAATTCTATGGGTGGAGACCCCTACGCGAAGTCGTCTCCCTCGTGCACACCAAAGGTCAGCTACCGACCTAGCTACCCAACTTTACTCCGCCCTGCCTGGCTGAGTTCTTGAGGCACTGAATGTGTTCTAATATATCCGAGCCTATTAAAAGCCTCTAAGATATTAACTTTAGCTTTATTAGGCTAAATTGCCTCTTATAATTGCTTACTATTACTAGAATAGTAAAGATATCTAGAGTAAAGCTACTTAATAAAGGAAATAAAGCCTTATAATTTCTTTATTATTAGGTAGTATTTTATATATCTTATAGCTTAAGATAGAGATATCTTTTAAGCTTACTAATACTGCCTCTTATTATAAATACTTTCTTTATTTTATTATTAATTTATTAAGTATATTAATTATCCTATTAGCTTATTATCCTTAGTATTATATTATATTTTAATATTTCTTTATATTTCCTAGTTTATCTTATATTAATAAGTAAAGTAATCCTTTATTTTAACTTAAGTATTATAAACTTAAGTAAGTTATTTCTTAAAAACTTAAGTAGCCTTTAACTAGCTAATCTTAAACCTTTAATAAAAAATAATTATTATTATAAATAAAGGAGATTTTTTAAATTTATTATAGTATGTATTTAGCTTTTTTACTTATTATTAATTAATATTAAATATAAACTTAATAATTTACTAATAATAAGCTTTTTTATAATATCTTAAATACTAATTACTTCTTTATTATAAAATATTTAGCTTAAGAATATAGTAATAAGGCAGATTTTATAAACCTTATTAATTAGCTTTATTATAATAATATATAAATCTTATTCTTATTAAAGTAAGTAAGGAGATAGTATTTATAGCTTAGCTAGCTATTATATTTATAAAAATTTATTAGTATTATTATAATTTACTTTATAATATTTAAATAAGTCTTACTTACTATCTTTACTATAACTTTATTATAAAAGTCTTTTTAATTCTTAAAGTGCTTTAGTAAATATTTTATTTTTATTAATAGTTTTTATAAGTATTTATAGCTATTACCTTTACCTTAGCCTTATATTTATATTATATATATATATATAAGTTTAAAAATCTTATTTACTTTATTAAAAACCTATTAGTTTTTATTAAATACTATATTATTTATTAAGATATATTTTATATTATTTTCCTCTTAAATTATAAAGAAAAATACCTTAATATTTATTTACTTTTATAAAGCCCTCTTAATTATTATATATATTAAGTTCTATTATATTATATTATTTATAATGCCCTTAAGCTTAGCTATAGATATAATAAAATAGGTTTTAAATAGATAGACTAGTCTATACTAGGTTTAATATTTATAGAGTTATAAGGCGTTATACTAAGCAGTTATAAAGTATTATATCTCTTAATAGTAAATAGAGCAGGTTAGGCATATTTAGGTAAAGAAGTCTTATTAATAGCTAGTAAGCTAAGTTTTATAAAGGTATTAAGGAATATAGTTTATATACTAAAGGTAGCTATATAGCTTAGTAAGGAATAAGTATAATCTTAAGGTTAGATCTTATAGGATTATTAGTAATTTAAGGTAATTTATCCTTAAAGTATTATAATTTAAGTAATTTAATAAAAGAGAATTATTATAAAGAGAAGTAATCTTAGTATAATTAATAGAAACTATAGGGGCTATATAATATAGGCATAGGGGTTATAATATAATATCTCCCTTTTATTAGGTCTTATCCTTAAGACCTATATATCTCCCTGTTTTTATATTAAGCTTTAGTAAGCGCTAACTCTCTTCCTTAATTATTTTCTTAATATATTTACTAATTATTATATTACAGAATCTTTAATTAAAATCTTATAAGACTTTAAAGCATATTTATTTAGCAGATTTAATTATAAAATTTTATTTTAATATTATGCCTTATTCCTTTTATAAGGCTAAGGGCCTTTATTATAAAATAATTAAGTATTGCTCTTATTATTTTAAGTATACTTATTAAGGTTAATCTTATAATGCTTTTAGTATTATAATTACTTATTATATATTCTTTTTTATCTATTATTAGGTTTTTTTAATTATTTCTTATAGTACCTTAATTAAATTATAAATCTAACTATTTAAAATAGGCAAAAGAGGAGGCTAAGGAAAAACTTCTTAAGGCTTAGCAAGAAGTAAATAAGGCTATTGCTAGATTATCTTATATTTATTATATAAAGCGCTTATTATAAGAATAGGGAATTTAGTTTATTATTAATAGTTTAAATTCTTCTGCTAGTAATATTATTATTTAAGAGGAGGATATAGCAGTTCTAGATATTTAGTCTTTTAGTAGTATTAATATTATTAATTAAAATATAGTTTTTAATTCTTTACTTTTTAAGGTTATTAGTAAAAATTCTTTAGGAGTTATTAGGCATTAGTAAGGTATTTAGTTAATTCTTATATATTTTCGCTTTTTAAGTAGTTTTTCTATTTAACTAAATATTCTTTTTTACTATTTTCTTTATATATTTTCCTAATTACTTTTACTTTATAGACTTCTAGTCTTATAATTATTTATAGTTTATTGCCGGTTTTAATATATATTATATTTACTGCTAATTTAAGTATTATAATATAATATACTAAGTAGTATTATATTATTAAAGGTAGATTTAGTTTATAGTTATTTTCTAATTTTTTCTTTATAACTTTAAACAGTCTAATATACTTATAATCTAATTTATAACTTAGTTAGTCTGTTTTAATGTTTTTTATAGATAGGTAAATTATATCTCTCTTTAAGAAGGTTAGTCTCTTTAACCTTTTAGGATTATAATACCTTTTTATTTATTTTCTAATATATTTAAGCTTTATTTTTATTTTATTATAAAGCATTTTAAGGTCTTTACTTTTAATAATAGCTATTAGGTTAACTAATTTAGGTTTTTATATATTATAGTATATATTTAGTATAAATTTAAAGTTGGCATTAGATGGTATAAGCTTTATGCTTTTATTATATGCAGTATTATAGGCTAATTAGGCATAAGGTAGTTTCTTAACCTAGTTATCCTATTTATAGTTAATATAATATTATAGGTATTACTTTAGTACTTAATTTATTTATTTAGTCTGTCTATTTATTTAAGGTCTAAAGGCTATTAACAGTTAGTAGTTTAGTCCTAAATATAATATAAATACTTACTAAAATTTTAATATAAAAGTTAGCCCTCTATTTAATAGGATTTCTATAGGTAGTCTATATATTTTAACTATTCTATTATAGAAGATATATAATATTTATTTTATATCTATTACTTCTCTATAGGGTAGGTAATATAAGAACTTTATAAGTCAGTCTATAATAACTATAATATTATTATAGAAAATTCT